TGGATAAAGAAGTGGTATATATACACACACACACACACACACACACACACACACACACACACACACACACACCATGGAATATTATGCAGCCATCAAAAGGAATGAGATCTTGCCATTTGCAATGACATGGATGGAACTGGAGGGTGTTATGCTGAGTGAAATAAGTCAATCAGAGAAAGTCATGTATCATATGACCTCACTGATATGAGGAATTCTTAATCTCAGGAAACAAACTGAGGGTTGCTGGAGTGGGGGTGGGGTGGGAGGGATGGGGTGGCTGGGTGATAGACATTGGGGAGGGTATGTGCTATGGTGAGGGCTGTGAATTGTGCAAGACTGTTGAATCACAGATCTGTACCTCTGAAACAAATAATGCAACATATGTTAAGAAAAAAGAAAAAGAAGAAGATAGCAGGAGGGGAAGAATGAAGGGGAGTAAGTCGGAGGGGGAGACGAACCATGAGAGACGGTGGACTCTGAAAAACAAACTGAGGGTTCTAGAGGGGAGGAGGGTGGGGGATGGGTTAGCCTGGTGATGGGTATTAAAGAGGGCACGTACTGCATGGAGCACTAGGTGTTATGCACAAACAATGAATCATGGAACACTGCATCAAAAACTAATGATGTAATGTATGGTGATTTACATAACAATAAAATTTAAAATAAATAAATAAATAAATATATTCTTAAAAAACTAATGATGTAATATGTTGATTAACATAACAATAAAAAACTTAAAGAAAAAAGTATATCTTGACAAACCAACCCACTTTGAAATAAATCTAATTCATTCACTTATTAATTGTCTTTAGGGAGTATAACTGAGACACCATTTGTTAAGTGAACTTGATAGAGACTGGCAGTTGCCTAATGTAAATCCATTTTCCCTGTTCACCTTAAAAACAGACTCTATCTATGAGATGGCATGAATGGACCTGGCTAAAGGACTACATTTTCCAATTGCTTACAATGAAATGTAGTCATGTGACTAAGTTCTGGGCCAATGAGGTTATAGCCAAGACTGTCAGTGACCTACCTGCGTTCACCTGAACTCTGAAGTGAGCTCCAACAGCCAAGGGTTTGCCTCTCTGGGTCTGGAACATCTTTTCCCAGCACTGTGGAGAGCCACTGCCTGCATATGGCATACCAGAAGTGCAAACTGATGCAGTCAAGGACAGTTCTCAACCAACGCTTCCCAGAATTGGCATACAAACACTTCAGCTTCCTCACCCTTTGGGTGAGAAAACTTAAAGTCATGTATTTTATACAATTGCCCAGATATGATTTGCCAGTTGTGCTCCTGTTGTCCACTTTGATGGCTGGTGTAACAATAAATGATCTTTTAACTAAAAAAAAAAAAAATTATTTTGTGTAAAGAATTGTATAGTTTTACTATACAAATTTTATTTTGTGTAAAGAACAACCTTATTGTGTCTGAATTTATTTTACTGTGTGTAATGATGTTGTATCAACTGCATCAAATAGGAATTACACTGTAGATATGTGATGTATGAATTTATGAACTAATTAATTATTTCTTAATATGCAATATTTATTACCACAAACCATTACCATTAATTTATATTTCCTTTGCTGGATATCAATTTGTATTTCCTTTATTAGCTTACTTATTAGCAAGAATTTAAAGGAATTATGTTTTACTGGATTTTATTCACCCATTCATTCAATAAATATTTATCAAGCCCCTATACATAGTATTTATAAAAGGTTCTCAATGCACACTTGTTGAATGAATGCATACAACGTGGCAGGCATGTCCTAATAGCAGAAACACAGAGGTGAATAAGACATGCAAGGTATTTCCTTTTGTGGAGCTTGTGTGTGTGTGTGTGTGTGTGTGTGTGCACATGCACACATCTGTGTTTTATTTATTGTGGAATGTGGAAAGTGATAAACCAGTAAATGGATAAAATAATTTCAGGTGGAGATAACGTCTATGATTTAGTGAGTGTCTCGGTAACTCAGCCCGTTAGATTAATTACAAAGCCAGGTATTTTCACTTGTCAGTTGGACCGAGCCAAGTACTTTAGATAATCTTGTTTGGGGCAAGACCACCCCCAGCTGTCGCTGATCTAGCACTTCCCCCTTGTCTGCTTCTGCAGGAGTGAGACCCAAGAGTTGTCCAACTGCTGCCCCCTGCACAGGTATATCAGCTCCTTCTGCCTCCCCTGTTGGCTCCCAAGAGCTCCTTCCTTCCCAGCAGGGGCAGTAACAGAAGGTGCGGCTGCCTTTTCAGACAAAGAGAAGCTCCGACTGAGGGGAGGAGACACGGTGTGCTCAGGGCGAGTGGAGCATCTGGCTGGATGAGGTGCAGTGCAGGGGCAGGGAAGCCTCCCTGTGGGCTTGTAGTATAGATCTCTGAGAGCAGAGCAAATGCAAGCAGGAGACAATGCTGGAATGAAGTGCACTAGTGAATGGAAGGACCATGGTATTGGACTAGGATCGAAGGACACGTGAGCTTGTATCCAGAAGTACTTCCCGGACTAACTTTGTATTGTGCTCTGGCTCCAGGAGAGGCCTGATCTGCTGGGATCTGGGAGAGAACAATATGCCATTGATATAAGTGCAACCCTATGGCTTTTCTAGGCCAATTCAACACAGTGATCCCATTCTCCTTCTCTTCTCTCCAGGTGAGAGGACAATAGTCTCCCCTTTCATGGACGTAAGTGGTTCTTCTACTCTGAGCCAAATGATAGAGGAGACACCCTTATTTTCAGGGACCTACACTATGGAATCTACATATTTCTGGAAAAATTAACCATGTCAGTATAAGAAAGGCCTAATGATCAGGTGTTCATAGTCCTATTAAGTTGTGGCAGCTGTAATGCTCCAAAGATTTACCAGCTTTCATTTTCTAAGAATCCCTTAGAACCAGATTCACAAGGGAGTTGACACAGCTCAGGGCAGGACCTAGGTCGATCACATCTTGAGATTCAGGCAGACCCATTGTATCTGAATGGTGACTTCATGGTCTTGAGGACTCGGGAGATGACTGGGATAAGGGGGGATTCTCCTGGGCTTACGTCCTCTCTAAAATCTCATGGCCCTCTTTTCTCCTCAGGCACCAGCAATTCAGGCTAAGCTCCTATCCCTGGCATCTTCTCCCTACCTGGGATCCTCTCTGTCTCATCCTGGAGGACCTTCTTTCCCTGGTCCATAGCATCCCGGTGATTCAACTACACAGATGGAGAGCAGAGCACCAAGGTGGGCCTTAGGAATGCTAAATGATCTGTAAAGTAGTGGGAAGATTATTAAGCCAGTTGTGATATCAAGAAAAGTGCACAAGTATTGGTCTCCAACCTCATTATCTAACAAAGCTCCACCTTCTCTACAATAGACTTCAAGGCTTGAAAGAATTGAATCCCTGGTCCTGGGCTGAATATAAAATCTCTCAAATATAATGACTTCTTAAGTGAACATTTAGTGGAAACTGAAAAATCAGTGGAAGTTGAAAACTCGTAGTAACCAGCTTTCTATTTTGGTTTTGTTGACACCATGCATCAGAAGTAAAATATAATAATCTTGGTGGGTATACTTTATTCCATCATTGACGTCATTACTTCCCTATGGCAAATGGCCATGTATATTGCACTGAGAGAAACCTTGATTATCTCCCAGTCCCCATGCCTGCCAAAAATTATGACAATTGCAAAAGTGATTATAGGTTGGAACCAGAGCCATCAATTAAGTACTAATAGGTTGGGCTTGGCTCATGGCCTGGTCACTACTCTCAGTTCTTCTATCATTAGTTCAGTAACCCCTCCACACGTTCACTATATGATGGGATGTTTTGGAGACATAATCTTTCCTTGGCTACTGCTGCAGGATAGCTCTCTCTATCTTGAAGAATCACATTTGCATTGTAAATAGTAACCAGATCAAAGGAATCTTGGAGCAATATGTTTTCAGAGAAGAAGCCCAGTGGTCTCAAATTCTTCCTCTAATAGTTCAATCATGTCACCACTCCATCCACATCTATAAAACCCATGTAGCCAATAGTTCCTGATTTATCTATCTATATTCCTTCTGGATCCCCTCTGCCTGGGTCTCTTCTTTGCCTTCTTGTCCCACTTGGATGCAGGTCTGTTGGTCAGTGCCAATTTGTCCTTTATCAACTTGCAGTAAAGAAAGACAGCAGTTGATATAATTCACTTAGAAGGCTTTATAATTGGACAGACAAGAAATGACAATGTCCTGAAGAAATAAGAAGTGATGGAGAGGAAAGACGGAATTTGAAAGGAAATGATAACTGACTAGATATGAGAGAAGAGTGAGAAGGAATCTGTATGGGCTTGAGTAATAAATGGGAAAAGTAACCTAGGGAATAGGAAGAGATAGTAATGGAGAATTGGATTTTCAAAAATTTTTTTCGAGAGAGTGAGCAAGTGCTTGAGTGTGCGGGAGGGGGTAGAGGGAGAGGAGAGAGAATCCTTTAAGCAGGCTCCACACTCAGCTCAGCGCTGAGCCCAAGGTAAGGCTGGATCTCATAACTGTGGGATCATGACCCCAGCTGAAACCAAGAGTCAGACACTTAACTCACTGAGCCATCCAGGTGCCCCGAATTGGATTTTAATTGATCCATGAAAATTTGGGCAGGCTAGGAAAGCTGTATCCATTCTCTCTCCTAGCCAACCTCCCACCCTCAACTTTGAAATTCCTACCCATGTCTGGTACCTAGGAATTGTTTAAAAACAGATGATACCACATCTCAAGGAAGAGCATACATGAATGTTCAGGATTGGTTTTTTTTTTTTTCCCATGAGTTCATCTTGGTAGGAATGAGGGCATGAGTATGGACCAAGTTTAGAGTCCCTTGTCTAAGAAAGAGAGCCTGGAACATTCATGAACTCAGGCAAAGTAAGGCCTTGAGTAGCCTATAGGGGAGGTAAGAAAACAGGTCAATATACTCACCTTGTATTTCCTTGGAGGGAAACTGTGAATCGAGATAAAACTTGCTAAATAATCAACAAAGCAAAAAGTACCTTATTCAGAATATTTAATTTTAAGTAATTTCATATAATACAATTATAAGTCAGCACTACTCTATTGAAAGACAGGCAATTAGAATATCCAAGGCCTTATCTCATTTTTAATGCAACGTCATGGGAAAACCGCAGTGGATGTTCCAAGGGCATTTAGTTCAATGTCATCATACACAGTGTTCACTTCTTCCCCCTGGAGCAGCCAGGGATTAGATTCTTCTTTTCCAGGACCAGCAACCCCTCTAGAGAACTGTAAAGAAGAGCCTGAAGCAGTAAAGAGAAGTTTGATTAGAACTGGGACAAAGGGCCTGGACAGTGCCCCATGGTGGAAGCAAGTCAAGTAAGTGGTGATGATGAAGCATCAAGTAATGTTCAAGGGGACTCAGACAATTTAATATAGTTACAGTAAAGATATGTCAAGGTTATCCTATCAGGATCCAGTCAATGTGGGTCTCTGGGAAACACTGTTATCACAGGAGATCCATGGCCAACACAGGTGCTCTATGAAGACATGTTTCTCAGCAGAGATGGCCCAAGAATGGTAAGAATCATAAGGGACATGAAAATTTCTCCTTTCACAATTTACCGATCTTAATTCGGAAAGAGAAGGGCACAGGAGACCTGGAGAAATCTCAGGTCCTCACTGACAATCCCACTCTGCTCTTGATGGCCTTGACTTGTGTTCCCAAATGCCCACAAAAACAATCACAGGATCTGTTCCATACTTGCCACCTCCCCAGTGTCACACTGGCCCTCAAATGGAGAAACACTCTTCTCTGGAGAATGAGCGTCTTCATTTGACCACTGAAACGTCTGGAACAGATTGGCCCTTAACTGCCCAGAAATTCAGACTCTATAATCCACCATCATGGCTTTAATTTTCAAGGCTACCATATATCATAGACTTTGTACATATTAGTGCTAACACATGATTGCAGTGCATCTCAAATTATCAAATGCCTCACAAATTCCAATATTGCAATATTTCTTAAATCTCTAAATGCCTTTCACATATGAGACAGCACAAAAATGTTACCAGAACAGTCGTTCTATCTTTGGACTTGGTAAACTAATCTGTGTCTTAATGCAAGCACCTCAAAGATGAAGTTATGGAGACGCAGTTACCAAGAGTATAGTGATGCTCCCCCTCCCCAAGGAATGTGAGAGCATGAAAGAAAGGAAGATGGTCAAAGGATATGAGATCATCTGAATTTTGAAATCATCTGAATTTTTAATCTATAGGAAGGATGAGCAATAAAGAGCTCAAATTCACCCTTTCCAGGACAGAGACAAAAGATTACAAGAGATCAACTAACCCCACTCACCTGTCTGAGAGGCCCTCATCCCATTCTCCTCCTCTGGGGGCACTTCCCCCTCACTCATCCAGGAGGCAGGAGGAGCCTCAGGCACTGGTACCTCTTCAGCATTATCATAATCCTCACTAGGGGCATCAGTCCTCTGAGCTGGGGATTTTAAGGGCAGACAAAGGGGTCAGATGAAACCACAGTAAACGGGTTGGCCTAGGTAATACCTAAAATCCCTTCTGCCACAGAGATTCTAATGGCTGCTAAACAGAGGTGCTATTCATTCCATGTTTTAACAGGTCTTTTCCAAGGTCATATATTTCATTTTATGTGTCCATAAACCAGAAAAATAATCCAAACACCTCAATATTTCCTGATTAAAACTACATATTTCAAAGAAACTCTTACACCATTGTGCCTTACTAAGATATTTGGTCAATTACACTTTCCAGATGTTATTTTTCAAAACAATGTGTATTTGTTGCAACTGAATGAGGGTGGTTCTGGACACAGAAAGCCCAGCCTCACCATGAGGCACATCAGAGCAACCAGAGAAGGAGAGAGGAGACCCCTCTAATTCCAGTCAAAGGGAGACTGTCCCTCTTGAATCTCATCTCCGTGAAGGGAAGTCCCCTGCCCCGAATACCCAGCCAAGGCAGATTCACCCCTACTACCTGGAGCAGATTGAAAGTCACTGTTCTCCTCACCATCCCTACTGTAATATGGCAGTTTAGTCACAGAGTCATCTGACAGGGCCCCTAATGTGGAGAAAAACATCACAAAACAAACAGAACACACCCTCTCACACCCACGGGACATGTGGTAAGGCTGAGAAGAAACGCTGGAGCACGATGTGTGGCTCAGAGAAGGCTGAGTATATAGTAGTGTAAAGTACACTGCAGTATAAAGAGAAGGCTCAGAGCTCACAGGGGCTCAGCAGGAACCCATTCTGCTGCCTTTGGAGAAGCTGCTTCAGTGAGCATGAGGTAGGTATGGGGTCTGCAGAGAAGCCTTGGCTCACAGACAGTGGGGGGCTGACAACTAGAGGGCACAGGAGGGCAAGGCAGGGATACACACCATTGCTGCCCAGCAGATCTTCCTTCGTTGTCGTAAGATAATCAATCTCCTCGTACACAGCCTCATTGAGAACATCTTCGAAACCGGGTAAGGCTGAGCAAACCACCAGCAAGTGAGAGATTGCCCCCTGAGTTCATCCTGAACCAACAAGCTAATCATTCTTCCCAGTGCTCACACAGGGAAAAAGCCTCAGGGCTGCCAGGACTCCTGCAGAGTCCCTCCTACCCCATGTACCATGTCTGCACCTCTCTCCCTTGTCTGACTCTGTGTCCACAGCTCAGCCCCTATTCTTTCTTGTCTCACAGAGAAGCCATGACTTATGAGTGTTGCATCCTAAGAGACTCTATAGATTCAGCCCTTAGAGTTTCGTGTGGGGCAGATGGAGTTTTTCAAAGACGGTTTTCCCCCCTCTCACACCTGGCCCCATCTCCTGCCTCCACACACTTCCCACGTTACCCTGTACTCCCTATAGCCCACCTCTGTGCTTTGCTCTCCATCTGTACATCTGAGTCACCAGGATGACGAGGACCAGGAAGAGAAGGGCCCCCAGTATGAGGCAGAGCATCTCAGACAGGGAGAAGATGCCACGGACAAGATTTGGGCCTGGTCTGATCCCTAAGGAGAATAAAGCCAATAGGATTTGGAATAGGGCACGGACCCAGGGAAACTCCTTTAGCATTTCCAGAGCACCCTGGACAAGTCCCAGCCTCAGACATAACAGGATTGACTCTGACCCTGGTGGGCACTCCCCCAGGCCTTGTCCTGAGATAAATTGAACTCCACTCCAATGAGGTCCAAGGGGGTGCTGGGCCAAGTCACACAACTGCAACCCCGTTCTCCGGGCTTCCCCAGACCAGAGCATCAGGCAACTCCTGGGATAGGCATCTAGCTGCAGAAAGGTGACACTCATGTTCTTGCTGTGGAGGAGTGACATTCATGGGCAAATGGGAAAACCTTAGGTTCTGTAACAGGAACCAGCCTCCCTTGGCCCAAGGGCAAGGGAAATTTGAAGGGAACTAAGGGAAGCTTCCCCAAGGAAAATGCCCTAAGACCTCCCCACCAGCAGATGGCTCTTCAGGATCTTTCCTTTTTCTGAGTTGGCTAATTCTGTCAGATTCCACAGAATAGGCCCAAGAATCTGAATATTCTCCCCTGCCTACAGATGGTGGCACTGTACCTGCTGTAGTAGACAGCAATATTGTTCTTCCACCTAAAGAGAAAACAGGAGTTTGCAGTACAGTAATTGGTCAGAGTGCAGGGCAGCCCATTTTCCCTACCTGAGCCCTGAAATCACCCCTCAATTACCCCAACATTAATGTGAAGACCTCCTCCTGTCCTAGATCCAGGGCTAACAGCACCTAGATGCTTTCTGAATGCAAACTTCCCATTTTCCCCTAGCCCACCCCATTGCCCCACCCTTGCTCCAGCTCAACCAGAGCCACTCACCAGAGCACCGCACTCCAGCATCCTCCTCGTGTTTGCAGTTGTTCTGCCCCCAGGAATCCGCAGCACAGTCCCACAGGGAGGATTCCCTACCCCTGCACTGCACCTCATCCAGCCAGATGCTCCCATTTCCAGGCCCAAACGCCGCCTTCTGCAGGGCCTCCAGGGCAGAGCCACAGCCCAGCTGCTGACACACCACCTCGGCCTCTGCCAGGCTCCACGAGTCATCACACACTGTGCCCCAGGAGCCCTCGTGCCAAACCTCCACTCGCCCTGAGCACACCGTGTCTCCTCCCCTCAGTCGGAGCTTCTCTTTGTCTGAAAAGGCAGCAGCACCTTCTGTTACTGCCCCTGCTGGGAAGGAAGGAGCTCTTGGGAGCCAACAGGGGAGGCAGAAGAGGCTGATGTACCTGTGCAGGGGGCAGCGGTTGGACAGCTCTTGGGTCTCACTCCTGCAGAAGCAGACAAGGGGGAAGTGCTAGATCAGGGACAGCTGGGGGTGGTCTTGCCCCAAACAAGATTATCTAAAGTACTTGGCTCAGTCCAAATGACAAGTGAAAATACCTGGCTTTGTAATTAATCTAAGGGGCTGAGTTACTGAGACACTCACTAAATCATAGCCGTTATCACCACCTGAAATTATTTTATCCATTTACTGGTTTATTACTTTCCACATTCCACAATAAATAAAACACAGACGTGTGCATGTGTGTGTGTGCGTGCGCGCACACACACACACACACACACACACAAGCTCCACAAAAGGAAATACCTTGCATGTCTTATTCACCTCTGTGTTTCTATTAGGACAGTGCCTGCCACATTGTATACATTCATTCAACAAGTGTGCATTGAGAAGCTTTTATAAATACTATGTATAGGGGCTTGATAAATATTTATTGAATGGATGGGTGAATAAAATCCAGTAAAACATAATTCCTTTAAGTTCTTGCTAATAAGTAAGATAACAAAGGGGATACAAATTGATATTAATGGTTTGTGGTAATAATAGTTGATATTTTGTTAACATCCAGAATCACAGAAGTAGTTTGCATTCAGTATTCCATTTATATTTTTAACGGGAAATTATATAACACATTATAAACTTTCCTTATCTATTTTTCATTATGACATGTGCACAAGCAAAGATTACTATATTAAGAAAACACTTTTTGTAAAGAACTGGAAGAAGGAGGACTCAGAAAAACGGCTAAGTGGACAAATGGCTAAGTGGTAAGCAGAAATGTTTGCATGATACTCAAATATACTGACAAAAACTACATGGAGGGGGACACAGATAACAAACGTGGGATCAAAAATGCATAAAAAACTGAAACCAAAGGAAAAACAGAAATTTGAAACAATACAAGAAAACAGAAGTATACATGGTACTTGTCATAAAATACCACAATTGGTGTACTCTTTCCATATCATCCTATCCAACTTTCTAACCCAGGAACATCTCAGAAAATGATGGCAGGACCCCTTCTGGGTGGTTGCTCACTTTCAGGACTGGAGACTTCACTATCACACAACTCATCGTGTTTGATTGTGGAAAATTCTCATCGGTGTAGGGTCTTATAGCTTAATATCCGCTTGGCTTTTCACAGGGACAAGAAAAGGAGGTGAAGAAAGAGAAGCAAGGAAGAGAGTGAGCCTCTGCCTTTGAAATATCTATCACCAAGCTCTCCCTTGGCTGTGGACTTCAGACAACTCCCAAGATATACCTGAGCTGGCAGGGAAGGAGGAGGGGGAAACAAGGAACTGGAAAAGTGTTGAGGGACGGGAAAACACTGTAAAATGCAAAAACAGTAAGGAAGGGAGGGAGGGAGGCAGAAAGGAAGGAAGGAGAAAGAAACCAGGAGCAAAGCAACTGTCAATCCTTATTTCAGAGTTCAAATATTTTAGCATGAGACATGGGTTTTTTAAGCTTATTGATTTGGGAGCTTCTATATCATCTGGCTTTAGTTTAATACTCCAGTTTTTTATAAACCCAAGCATTCTCTCTAGATACGAAGAAGACAATTGAAAAGAGTCCCCAGAAGTAATTTGACAATACCTATTAAAATGTATGTGTGTGTGTTCTTTGATCTAATAATATCAACATTGAGAGCAATCCTACAGTAAAAAAACTCACCTGTATGTAGAAATACATGTACGAAAGGATTATTATGGAAGAGGGAGGAGAATCACCATGAGCTGCTCCAAGGGCAGGACTCTCGCTGATGGATGAAGGGTTTAAGGAGGCAGGTTTATATTGTTTATAAAGAGGGAAAATCAAAACCAATCAGACTACCAGTAAATAAGTAAATGGTTACATGAACTGGACTAGCAATCTCTGATGACTGGAATATTATACCACTGATTTACAAATGAGTTAGATCTACCTGGAGGAATAGCCATGATATATTAAGCAATACAAGCTAATATAACAATAATGTGTGTGATATAATCCCAATTTTGTAAAATCAAATAACAAGATACCATCAACGTAAACCCTTTAAGGATATATGAGTTTGGATATGTTTCAATGAGAATGGATGATTTTCAAAAACAGTACTTACCAGTCCATTAATCCTGTTTACAACAGAAGTGTACAAATAGACAAGGAGTCATGGGCTGTGATTCATTTCTCTTTCTACATTTTTTGTATATATTCCCTGCTTACTATAAGTAAGCAGTGTTTTTGTAATTTAAGCGAACAAGAAAGGACCTGGTCTCTCTCTCTCTAAGCATAAAAGAAACTAGAGGAAAGAAGACAATTTCCCTAGTGCCAAGCATGATACAACCCCAGCAGGAGCAGGTGTCACTGATTCAGGAAAGAAACACAGAGATAGGCAAAAATGGATATAAGGGAAGGTGCTGTCCATCCCATCGTGACTCCAGTGTTGGTATTGTTCATTCCCCGAGGGGCCATCACAAGGTGAGATACCTTTATGGACCCAAACCTGCCTCCTTGCAACCCCCATCCAGCAGCTGGTGTCCTATCCCCTGGATCAGCTACTTCATGGTGATTCTTCTCCCTCTTCCATGGTAAAGTCCTTCAAAGTTCAACAATCAGGTTACATTTATTCTGGCATTTCTGCTAATTAGCCTAATTACCGACATCTTATGACATGGTTTCCAGTTGTTTTTGCACTGGAGACACATGCCCTCAGACAATGAAGTGTGCCTGTGTCACTTCTCCAAGTAGATCACCCTATTACACAACAACAAATTAATCCACTTGGCAATTAAAATAAATCTATTTCCAGTATCGAATACTACACTTCAGCACCTTACTTCTCACTCTTTGCCCTTCACTGTTTCTCAAAAGTGTTGTATACATTTCTAACCATCACCTTATTGATACTTTTATTTCTGGTTTCTACCCCACCTCAAAAATGTTCTCATTAAACAGTCAATAACATACAATGCCCAAAATCTACTGGGTACTTTTCAGCTCAAACGTTCTTGAAGCCTTAGTAGAATTTAGTATATATCACCATCCCCCTTTCCTTGAAACTATTTTTTTAACCTGAGTTCCAGACACAGTATTTTCTGGGTTCTTATCTCTCTGTCTGCTCTGCATCTGATTCCATGTCAGGTCACACAGTGTACTAGCTTCTAAAAGTTAGTGTTCCTTGGAGCCTGTCTTGAGAGCAATTATATTCCCAGTGATCCCAACCACTCCTATCTAACAATGAGGTGGAGTGACTGTCAAGAGAAAGCAAAATGAGAAGGAATGAGAAGTGAACCTGCTGAACACTGCTAAAAGTTTATGAATACTGGAGAGAGAAATGTCTGCTACATTTCATTACCTTACCAATTCAGAGGAATGGTGGACCCTAACACTTAACGGGATGAGTTTAGAATAGTAGAAGAGGGAAAACTGTGAAGACTGTGAGTGGTTACTGACCATAGTTTCAGAAACATGGCCAAGGAGGAGAGAGAAGGGGGATGGGCACTAGGCAAGGAAGTCAAGGAAAACTGTTTGTTCAGGTCTTTTTCAAGATGTGAGACACACAAACCCATATATATATTTATGAGAATAAACCAAGAGACAGGGGGCAGTCAATGGTGCAAATTAGAGGGAATAGAAGTGAAGACTTGGACGAGGGCAGTTAGGAACCACAGCCTGAGCAGAAGAGCTGGCCTACTGCTAGGACTGAGGCCACTGGTCCAGGAGGCCAAGTGAGTACAGAGTATGCGCAGAGACCACAGATAAGGAGACTTGGTAAAAGGAAGGTGAGGAGTTGGCAGCTGACTTTTCTAGTTTTTCAATGAGGTAAGAGGCAGATCATGATTTGAGAATAGATGGTGGGGATCCGGTGCTGACAATGCGAGGGGAGCAGAAAATATGTAAAAAATATAATTTTAAAGACAGGGCAAGCACACGAAAAAAAAAGATAGGGCAAGCACACATATTGAAGAAGTACAGTAGTACTCAGAGACACTGTGGAACTCACATTAGAGATTGTGTTGGTGAATCCAAAAGTAGGCTAGCAACTTGACTATGTGTTATTTTCCTGCCTTTGCCTTAGTCCAGTGCAGACAAGGAGTACTCAGGTTGTTGACATTAACCAGGTGAAGTTTGCCAGGTGAGGTTGACAAAGAGGAGGCAAGGGAGTCGAATAAATTTAAGGAGAATGATTATAATGTTGGATCATATTATCTAATCTGGCTAAGAAAAAAATGTGCAGACATGAGGAAAGTAGAAAAGTAAGAAAAACTGATAGGGGAAAATGTTGGGTATCTCCCTGGGGACAAGCAATTATTCGAAATAGAGCATTCTGGGTTAGGAGCCATAAGGATAGGAAGCACTGGTCAGAGCACGGAATAAAGAAATCAAGATTTCAAGTTGTACAGTTGGTGGTGGTCAGTGGTGTATGCACAGGCCGAGATAGGATGGAAGGAAAGATGCTTAGAAATGAGGAAGTCAATGAACTGAGAGACCAGACTGCTGTCTCAGTTGTGTTTAAGGAGGTTGTAGTAAGTACCAGTGGTTCCAGGAGTAAGACAGAGATGAGGAACCTGATGAGTCTGGTGCTGCAGTCTTCAGTGGACAAGGAGAGTGACCAGATTAGGATGGTGACAGCAACAAGTACAAGTACTAGGCAGTACTGCCTCATGGCGTGAATTTCAAGTAGCCAGGTGTTGAGAAGAGAGACAGAAGGGGGATTGTTGAAAGTGACAGCTGAGAGCGAGAAGTATACCCATTCCAAGTCTCGGCCCAGAGAAAAGTGTGTTGAGAGAAAAAAAAAGAGCCTCCAGGTGACGGGGAAATCGGTGTTTTCAGGGAAAAGTCAGGTTTTGATCAGAACGTGAAAGTGAAGGGAACTTGGAGGGCATAAGGGAGTTTGAAGAGGATGGGCTCCAAATTCCAGCAGTTTCTGCAGAACATTTTGAGAGAGTGAGATGAGGGGGACAGATTAAGCACATGGTAGTTAATGAAAGTCCCAGAGGAGACAGGATCAGCCCCCGAAAACTGGGAACCTCAGGGTCTCTTAGAAGAAACAAATTCAAGCAGAAAGTCATGGGGACATGGGGCCACTGACTTCTCAGCAGTTCTCCATGATGAGGCAGCCAAGAAGATAAACAAATTCCTCTTTAACAGGAATGTCTTCCTGGGCCTGCCTCAGAGAGGTCTCTGGCTCTGCTCATCATTCCAGGGGAACCCTGCAGCCCTTTCCCTCATCCTTTTCTGCTCTGGCCACGATGGGATTTTCTCAGTGCCTCAAAGACACCATGTTTCCTCCCACCTCAGTATGTACACTGACCCAAGTGATCTCTCCACTTTCTTCCTCTGAGAAACTCTTACCCTTCAGCTTTCCAAGTATTTCTTCTTTTACCCCAGCTCCACACTTCCACAGCACTTTCTAACTCTTCATGAAATTTCTGGCTAATGAGAGTTTTCAACACTGGACTGTAAGCTCCGTGATAGTGCAGACTACATTTTCTTCTCTTCTCCATCCTCCTGCCTGCAGCATAAATTTGTGCCTAGAAGGCACTCAGTTACTATGTACCACCAGACTGACTGAAAAACCAATCTGATTGGTGTCAATCGGCATCTGGCATTCCAGAGTAAAATACCATTAGCTTAAGAGACAAAACAATCAGGGTTGATTCCTCATTGACCCTTCTTTACTTTAATGTGTTGGGATATCACTTAACTATTCCTAATTAATTAGCAATTGCTTAGAAAGTTTATCAGGGTATTGCTTATGTTCAATGCAATCCTTCTGGTATTTTTCATGAAACACAAGTTTCCTTATTTTTTCCTGTGAAACAAGATTGGGAAGTGTAAGTTAAATAATCATCCAAACTTCATTTGTAGTCTTATCTTAAACTCATCCCTTAGATTTGAAGATATAAATCTCACTAACAACATCCTACAGGACTGGGACGGACACATAGAAACAGTAAGTTACCTGCACACGAGATATAAGCTTCCTCTTTTGAAGAGCATGAGTTTCGTCTCCAGGAGTCAGAAGGACATTGCCAGAGAGAGGAATCAGTTTTCCGACACTGGATTTGATCCACCCACCGAAGTCTAGAACCTTCCCTGGGAACTATGGAAGAGTTGAGGGTCCCACTGTCTCCACAGCCAAGCTGTCTACAGATGATGGACAAGGTGATGTCTGCCATGGGGCTGTGGCAGACACTGCCCCAGGTTCCATTGTAGAAAACTTCCAGCCACCCAGCACACCGCTGGTCCTCGCTCACCATCCTGAGATTCAGAAAGTCTAAATATGAGAGGGGAGAGAGGGGGAAACAGTCCACAGTAAACATTCCACTCAACGCTCTTGATTTTTTTTCTCCATGCCAGTGATTGTGAACACTCATCACTGACTCTGCCGAGGAAGCACCCACTAGGTGGCAAGACTGAAACTGATCTCCCTTTTAACTGATTTTGTGTGTTTGTGTCTGTGTTTCTATTTCCACCACAATGATGTAGTAGAATATGAACAGAAAGGCATACCCACCTGGTACTCTACACAGAGGGGAAGCTGAATCCTGCTTCTTGACAAAATTTCTGATGGAGTATGCGAAAGGGAGTGTGGAAAGTGGGGTGGTAGGCAGAACAATGGCCCCCCAAGGTGTTGTGCAAATATGTTACCTTACATGGCAAAGGAAACTCTACAGATGTGATTAAGGTAAGGACCTTGGGATGGTGAGATTAACCTGGAGTAGTGCAGGTTAACCAGGTGAGCCCAAATCCAATCACATCCTTAGACCTAATATCCTTTAAAATGGGAAGTCTTTCCCAGCTTCAGTCGGGGAAACATGACTGTGGAAGAATGGTCAAAGGGAGGCAACACTGTCAGCTTGAAGAGAAAGAAAGGGAGCTACCTACCAGCCAGTGAATGCACATGGCCTTAAGAAACTAGACAAGACAGGGAAAAGGAATCTCCCCCAGAGCCTCCAGAAAGAATGCAGCCCTGTTGACACCTTGATTTTAGCCCAGTGAGACCCTTGTTGGACTTCTAACATGCAAAACTGTAAATTAATAAGTTTGTGTTGTTTCTACCACTAATTCTGTGGTAATGCATTTCAACAGCAATAGGATCTCAAGACTTTACCACCATAAAGAACTGAAGATCGAGCCCTGCTTTCCAGTGGGAACTGTAGGAAACGGCTCTGTCAGGAGCTCTTACTGAGAAAGAAGGACCTGAACATCAGCTGCCGCAGAAGGAAAAGAAAGCACCTAATCTTCATATCTAGAAAGACAGGCAGTGTGGAAGGAAGTCTTCCTCTCCTCTGGCCCTTCAGCAACACCCCTCAGGGCTCAGACTCCCGTCCTCCAGAGCCCCCACCTCCTGGTCCAGCCTGTGGACAGCATGCAGGCAGACCTGAGCAGATGACCCCTGCGTCCTCCTTGTGTCTGCAGTTGTGCTTCCCCCAGCCCCGGGAAGGGCACTTCCAAATGTGGGACTCCTTTCCTGTGCACTTCAGGTCGTCCAGCCAGATAGGGTCTGATCCCTCCCCGAAGTGAGCAGAGACCGTGGCATTGAGGGCTTCCCCGCAGCTCAGCTGTCTGCACACCACGTGGGCATCACTCAGGTCCCAGCTGTCATCACAGATGGTGCCCCAGGAGCCCTGGTGAAGGATCTCCACTCTGCCGGCGCAGGGACCGCCGCCATCCACCAGGCGGAGCTGTCTGCGATCTGAGGAGAGAATCAAGCCACTGGAGCATATCACGGGAAAGGAGAAGGGCTTTCTGGTCCCCTGGGACCCCTCACCTGAGCAGGTGGCAGCAATCTCCTGTGAGGCTGCAGAGCCTGCGGGTTCAGACACAGAGTCGTTGCACTGGGGCAGCACCTGGGTCTGGTTTCCTGCAGAAACAGCATGGTCAGAGGGTTGGTAGGGTCGAGGAACAGGAAACTGAGTTAAACTAAAGAGTAACCTAGGGCGGGGGTCTGAGATGAAAGCTGTAACATAACAGTAATGTTACTGTAATTTTAGATTTCACCTCTTTATGGAAGGTTCTGCTTCTGACAATTCCAGATTAGTTTCAAGCCAAGTGCTTCACTAAGAATGAATTTTTGAAAGTAGGGATATATCAGTATTGCTTGAAAGTGGTGAAGAGCTACCAAGGCAGTGAGAATTTTTGGAGCCAAGCTCTAAGAGAAAAGTAAAGGGCAGACGTGAGCCACTTTCCCCTTGAGTCCTTTGTCAATTCAAAGATTATAGCTAAGAGGCTGAAAAGTTCAGCAGAGGTTTTGCCAGACTCATAGGGCTCAGAGGGTACACCGTATAATTCAGGGTCAGCCAAGGAGGAGGCACCCTGAAACCAGAGCCTTTGTACCATAGAAGGAAAAGTGAACTGAACGTAGACAATTCTTCAGAGGGATAGGTGCCCAGTGTCTAAGTGCTTCAATTCCCTTAAACAAAGTGATCTGTCCATAAACATTTGCCGGGAGGAAGGAAAATAAAATCCTTTCTGAAAGATTTCTATAATTTTTCATCTAAGATGTCTGTCAATCAAAAATACCCAGGCAAGGGGTGCCTGGCTGGCTCAGTCTGTAGAACATGCAACTCTTGATCTCAGGGTTGTGAATTCGATCCCCACAGGAGGTGTAGAGATTACATTTAAATAAAAATATTAAAATTAAAAAAAATACTCAGGCATAAAAGAGAAGAGATTTGACAAAAATCCAGAAGGATAAAAGAGGCACTGGAAAGAAATTTACAGGGTATCCAGTTATTAGAGTAACCTGACAAGGAGTTTAAATTACCATGATTGAAATGTTCAGGGAATTAAAGATAGAATTTTGAAAGAGAAATATTAACAAAATCAAATAAAAATTCTAGAACTGAAAAAGTCGATATTTGAAATAAGAACTCAAAGGGTGAGTATAATAGCCCATTAGATCAGGACAAGATAGAAATAGTAAAATGGAAAATCAGAAGGAAATACAACAAAAATGAGGCCCAGAAAGGCCAAAAAGTGGAAAATATAAGCAAGGACATAAAGTCATGCTGAAAAAGTCTAACATTCATATTTACTAAGTCCTAGATATATAAAGGCACAATGTACAGAACTAAAAGTAGAAATTTAAAAACCCACAATCACTTATTTCATATACCTTGGTGGTTTTTAAACATACCCCAAAATCTTTGATACTGCATCCTTGGAGAGGTGGGCATCTATGCTTCCTTCCCTTGAATTTTGGCTGGCCTTCACGAGTCGTTTGTAAGCAATGGAATGCAGTGAAAGTAATACTACTTTACTTTCAAAACTAGGTGAGAAAAGTCAGGCAGCCTCCCCTGAACTCACTTAGGACATTTGCTTCTGGGGAACCAGAAAACTTAATCTTGCCACAGTACTAAGTATTTATTGAAGACAAATGAAATGTTTGTCTTCAAAAGGACTTGTATATGCATGCTCATAGTATCTTTATCCGTAATAGCCCAAAACTGTGATGCCACCTAAAACATGTGACATTACCTTTGGAACACAGCAGTAGGCAGAAGCTGGATGGGCTGGGGCAATGCTGTCAATGAGGACTACAGGAGGTAAGGAAAATGTGACTGGAAGCTGGAGGGGAAATGAGCAGTGATCTGTGTTATGTAAATTAAAGTGGTTGCTTTAAGTGACTAGATTTGGAAGAAATGTATTATGCAATAGTAACTAGAAAATACCTTACATCAGTCTCAGTAACTAAGAGAGCAAACCAGCAAAATCAGTCAGTAAATATTTATTTACCTCAAACCCACAGAATACACATTATTCCCAGGTCATACAGGTCATTTAACAAGGCTGATCACATGTTATACCCCCCCCCCAAAATGAGATTTAAAAAATTTTCAAAGGGCTGAAATCACTAAAATGTGTTTTTCAGGGAAAAAAATATATATATATATATTGACCAAAATAGAATTAAGCTAGAAACACAGGATTCATACTGTGCAACAAGGTAAGGAAGATTGGTGTTCAGTGATTGGCTTTGCTAATATTTTCAATTTCTACTTTGAATACTGCCAAATCCCAATTTGCATTCAGGCAGGATGGGATCTAATACCAATTTACCAGGCTTCCACAAGATTTAATTCTCCTGATAATGGCCACAGCTCAAATTGGAAGGAGAGTCTACATAATAATTGGCCTGTATTCTTTAAAAAGTCAATGTCATGAAATACAAAGCAAGATTCAGGAAGTGTCCTGAATTAGAGAAGTGTCCCTGATTAGAAAAGACTAAAGGGATATGAGAAGTGAATGCAGCATATTTCCTCAACTCTTTTTTTGTTGTGAAATATGTATTAGGGACAGTTGGCAAATTCTGAATCAGGCTTATGAACTAGGTAACAGAATTATAACAATGGTAGTCAATCAAGAGATGAATGGATAAAGAAGATGTGTCGTATATATAATGTAATATAATACTATTCAGCCACGAGAAAGAAGGAAATCCTGCCATTTGGGACAACATGGATGGATAGTGCAGACATTACACTAAATAGGATAAGCCAGAAAGAGAAAGACAGGTACTACATGATACCATTTTTAGGTAGAATCTAAAAAAAAAAAAAAAATCAAAATCAGTATGATGCTAAGTGAAATAAGTCAGTCAGAGAAAGATAAATACCATATGATTTCACTCATGTAGAATTTAAGAAACAAAACAGACAAACAAAGGGAAAGGAGGAAAAAAAGAGAGACGGAGGCAAACTGTAAGACTCTTAACTATGGAGAACAAACTGAGGGTTAATGGAGGAAGATGGGCGGGGGATGGGCTAGATGGGTGATGGGCATTAAGGAGGGCACCTGTGATGAGCACTGGGTGTTGTAAGTGACGAGTCACTACCTTCTACTCCTGAAACCAATATTACACTATATGTTAACTAACTAGAATGTAAATAAGAATTTGAAGGAAAAACAGAATCAAAATTATGGAACTATGGAGTAGAATAACTGTTGCAAGAGACTGTGGGGTGAGGGAAATGGGGACAGTTTTGCAGAAATGTACAGACTTCCAGTTATAACATAAATCAGTCTGAGGGTCTCGTGCATAACATAGTGACTATAGTTGATAACATCATATTATATAATTGAAATTTGCTATGAAATGTTTTCACACACACACACACACACACACACACACACACACAAAGGTAAATTTGTGAAGCCATGGCTGTGTTAATTAACCAGAATGGGGGGAATCCTGTCACAATGTATATGTATATCCAATCACCGCACTATACACTTGGAATGTCTTACAATTTTGTCAGTTATACCTCAAGAAAGCTGAAATTTAAAAATTTTTTGCTAAGAAAATGATCACATTTTGATTGAGATTGGAGTAAATCTACAGATAGACTTTGAGGTAAGTGACTTTGACAATATTTAGTATTTTTAATTCATTTATGTGGTGTATCTGTCCATCGTTTACATCTTTAATCTCTCTTGGAAATCTTTTATGTCTTTGACTAGATTTTCTCCCTGGTGTTTTATGTTTTTTACTAGTACATTTTTTAATTTTATCTTCTGTTTATTGATACTATCTATTAATATTAATTTAAAAATTGTTTTTTAAATATATTTTGTACATGATTTTTGTATCCAGCAATGTTATAATTAGACTGTAACTTCTAATAATTTAACTACAGATTCTTTTGGGTTTTCTGCACTTAAGCAATTTTTGGAATCATGTTGTAAGTTTTATTTCTTCTTTTCTAGTTCTTATACTTTTAAATTTTTTTGCTCTCTAAAATTGGTAGTAGATATTAATATCATCTCCATCATCCCAGGGAAAAAATATTTCAATATTTCATCATCAGTGTGACATTTGCTCTGGATTTTTGTTATATGGCCTTTAACAGACTGAAGGAATTCCTTCTATTTTCAATATGCTAACAAATGTTATCATGCTTCTTGAATCTTTTCAAATGTCTTTCCCCCTCTGATGAAAAGATTATGTGGTTCCTTTTTTGTTTAGTTTTGTTAATTGGTATATCTTATACTAACTGCATTTCTGGGACAAACTCTATTTGGTTGTGGTGTATTAATTTTTGTACATCTCTAGATTCAATTGGCTAACATTTTCTTCATGAATACTGCATGCATATAGGAAAATTGCTCTGTAATTCACCTTTGTTCTCATGTCCCTGTCAGATTTTTATATTTATGGTCCTTTCTGATATTTACATGATTCTTGCAACTTTTCTGTAAGTTTGTGTTTATTTAAAAATAAAAAGTTTAGTACATAGGGAAAAAAAAGAATTAACACCCAATCTTCCAAAGAACTAAAAAGAGAGAATAATTCCTACCTCACTTATAAGAGTTGGAAAAGTGTGTCTGTAGGAGGTGGTAAACTCAGGAGCCTCTTATGTCACCATCTTGGATTAGATCATCAAGGTATTTTCGGTGAAAAATGACAAGCTAATTCTAAAATTTATATGGAAAAGACCGAGAATGATCAACACAATTGAGAAGAAAAACAACAAAGTTTAGAGATGTAACTTTACCACATATCAAGACATACTACAAAGTTATAATAATTTCTGAACTGGGGCATTCATGCCAGAATAGACAAGGAAACAACAGAACAGATTAGAGTCCAGAAGAAGACTCAGACGTACTATAGACTCATTATGAAAAAGGTGGCACTGAAAGTGTCTTTTTATGGAAGAATTCTGAGTCTATTGGATATTCACATAAAAATATGAAATTTGATGCCTATCACATGTGAAAATCAAGTCCAGGACTATACAATTATACGTGAAATAAAGATAACTAAACCATAGAGGAATATCTTCAGGATCTTAGGGTAGACAAAGTTCTCTTCAAAGAACATAAGAAGCACTTTATGCAAAAAAAAAAAAAAGGTGATAAACTGAACCTTGTTAAAGTGAGGAGCTTGGCTTATCAACAAACACCATTAAGAGAGTAAAAAGAAAGTCGAGAGTTAAACGCCTAAAATAAATACATACATATTTGTACCACAAGTCACTGTCACAACTATCTATAACATTACTACTTCTAATAATTAAGAACTGGAAATAAATCAAAACTCCACCATCAGTTGATGGATCAATACCTGGTCACACGGTCATTCAATGGGATACTTTACAATAATAAAAATGAGTGAGGCACTGCTATAAACAACTACATGCATGAATTGCACACATGGTATGGAATCAAAGAAGTTAGACACAAAATGAAACATACTCTATGATTTTATATGAAGTTCAAAATAGAAAAAACTATTCTATAGCATAGAAGTGAGGAGACTGGTTTTCTTCAGACAGGAGGGTAGGCATAGTGACTGGTAGGGTATGAATGTGGCTTCTGGGGTGCTGCTAATGATCTCTTTGTTGATTTGGATTGGGGTTACACAGTTACTGTGTACACACTTACTACTTACATACTTTCTCTGTAAATAATACTCAGCTATATTTAAATAATAGTGTTAATTTTAAAAGATATCCCTCTTAATATTCCTTGCCTTGAACTGAAAGGCAAACAAACAATGAAAAGAACCATATTTTATCATGGATTATCTCATTTTTAAAATAATTTTTCCACACTCTCTGCTCTTAGGGACATTTCATTCAAGGAGCATCCTGAGTACCAGTTAGTCCTTTCCTCTCTCTTACCTGAACAGATCACCGAGGCTGTGTTTCCATGGGTACAATCAGAAATGCCCAGGGCAGTCACAGGGCAATTCCACAAAAAAGACTCAGCCCCTGAGCAGTGAAACCGAGCTTCCCAAATCTTATCACCTCCTTCCACAAAGTATGCTCCTTCTGGAGTAGAGACAGCGATTCCACAGCCAAGCTGTTGACAAACAACATTGGCATTGGCCATATTCCAGTGTGAGGCGCAAAGCATTTTCCAGTGTCCAGAAATATGCATCTCCACTTGTCCCTCACACTGAGAGATGCCATTTTTCATGAGTCGGACTTCTGTGTACACTAGGAGGAGAAGACAAGTTTTCAGCCAAATCTCATGTCTTTTTTACCCCGGGAGAGTATTGTGGCGAGGTTGAAGTCCCACTCTGCATCTCACCTGAACAGAAAATTTGAACAGCCCCACGGTGGCAAGCACCTCCTGGACAGGGCTCATTGTGGCAAAACCAGAGCTCAGGTTCGTGCCCTTTACACTGGAATTCTTTAGGCCAAACTCTATCTGACTCTCTGAAGGACACATCCCCCAGGAAAGAAACAGCTTTGCCACACCCTAGCTCTGCACAGATGACCTGGGCGGTGAGTAATGTAAAGTTCCCATCGGACAACGGAACCCAGTCTTTTCCAGAATGCACTTCTACCTGCCCTAAGCAGGGTCCATCCCCTCCAGCTAGACGCACAAATCCTAAAAGAAAAAAGAAAACCAAACCAAGTAAGTGTTCATGATTCTTGCTTGGCAGTTAGAAGTGACATGTCATGGACAATGGTATATGACCATGACATGTCATAATAAAAGTTTTCTTTTCCCAGGCATTGGGAATGAGAAGAGGACTTAATAGTGGTGTCAGAATGGGACCTCCATGAGTCAGTTTCTGAAAACAGATTATTTGGAGTAGCTGAACATTAGGAAAATATATTTTGGGGTTGGTTAGAGAAGCGAATTCCTCATTTGAGCCCAAGGAAACTGCATAATATGTAGGCATTCAAACTTGAGTACAGAAGTATGAAGAACAAAACCAAACCAGAGAGATATGGGCTATAAGATGGTAGAGATCTGTCAGCCAGACAGGTTAGAAAGTCATCCTGAGACTTGTGGGGCTCAAATTCTGGTCAGCTTCCTTTCCCAGAAGACAACCCTCAAGTGACTGAAGATAGGGAAAACCATGAGGTCTGTATCCATGAATGCATGACACCCTATAGACAGACTCAATATTAGAAATATAGACATTATAACCAATCCATAATTGTGAGTACAAAACTTATCTATCTGATAATTTTTTATGGCAAAATATTCCATGAACTTCTTATGTTACCTAAGTGGGAAAGATGAATCTGGATGTTAAGAAAGCTCAGAGAGTCAGGAGAGGAAGAGTGTGGTTCGAGCCGTCTCTCTTGAAACCCTAGGATATAAGAATAGCCTCCTTCCAATCCATGAACACAAGATAACTCTTCCATTTATTTGTATATTCTTTCATTTTCTTCATCAGTGTTTTATTTTTTTTAATTTTTAAAGAGTAAGCATTAAAAACATGCAGAAATTAGATGATTGAATTAGCTGACAAAGTCTTTAAACCATTTATATAAATATACTCAATGAAACATAAAGCAGATTTTTAAAAACTGGAAAAAAACTAAATGGAACTTCTAAAACTGAAAAATACAATATCTGGAATGAGAAATTATCTAGATTAACTTACAAGATTAGACATTGCAGAATAAAAGAATTATGAAGTTAAACAGAGAACAACAGAAGCTTTCTCTCTGAAGCACAAAGAGAGAAGATAGAAAAATCACCTGTGAAAATGCATTTCAAAACTGAATGAAGATGAAAATGTTTTCAAATAAATAAAAAATGATAGAACTTGAGGCCACCAGAACTGCATTACACAAAAGTATTACCGGAATTTCTTCAAGCTAAAGGAAAATAGTAACAGATGAAAACGTGGATCTACCCAAAGCTTATAAAGACTACTGTAAATGATAAATCTGTGGGTAAATATAAAAAACTTTGTCTCATTTTTAAAATAATAGAATATTTCAGGCAAATATAACAGCAATGTGTTATAAGATTTATAATATATTTATAAATAAAATCTATGACAACAATAGCACAAATGACAAGAAGAGGGAAATGGAAGTATACCGTGGTAAGGTCTTCCATTATATATTGTGATACAATATTATTTGGAGTTAAAATATGATTAAGGAGTAATAATTTCAACATTATGGTAAATCTAAAAAACATTAGAATTACCACAAAGAATACATTAGATATGATATATCTAATAAACCAACAGAGTAAATAAAATAGAATACTAAAAATACTCAAAGATTAAAATAGGAACAAAGAATACATAAGACAAATAGCAAGTTAGTAGACTTAAACCCAAGCATATCAATAATTACATTAGATTGAAATAATTTAAATGCTCCAAATAAAAGCAAGATAATCATACTGAATAGAAGTAAGACACCACTTCCATTATATCTCAATAAAACTAGGGAAAAGGAGTAAGACTCACCATATACCATCCGCAAAAACATATATACATTAAATATAAACACAGAAACAGGGGTGCCTGGGTGGCTCAGTCAGTTCAGCATTTGAGTCTTGATTTTAGCTCACATCATGATCTCAGGGTCGTGAGATCGAGCCCTGCATCTGGCTCCACACTGAGCATGGAGCTTGCTTGAGATTCTCTCTCCCTCTCCCTCTGCCCTTCCCCTCCTCTTTAAAATAAAATTAATAGTAAAGAAATAAATACAGAAACATATTAAAAGTGTCAGAAAAGATAGACCATGCAAGTACTAATCAAAGAAAGCTGTTGTTTTCTATATTAATATCAGACAAACTAAGACTATAGGGCAAGGAATATATTTAAAAATAAAGAAGATATATTTCATAATGATAAAATACAAAAGAAATCATGTAATATCAAACTTAGCGGGATACTGCTAAAGCAGTGCTTAGAAGAAAGTCTAGAGCCTTGACACTTCCTTAATGCATACATTAGAATACAAAACCCTCTTACACTGTTGGTGGGAATGCAAACTGGTACAGCCACTCTGGAAAACAGTATGGAGGTTCCTCAAAAAGTTAAAAATAGAGCTATCTTACAACCCAGCAATTGCACTACTCGGTATTTATCCCAAAGATACAGATGTAGTGAAAAGAAGGGGCACATGCAATGTTCATAACAGCAATGTCCACAATAGCCAAACTGTGGAAGAAGCTGAGATGCCCTTCAACATATGAATGGATAAAAAAGATGTGGTTCACATGAGAGACGATGGACTCTGAAAAACACAGAGGGTTCTAGAGGGGAGGGGGGTGGGGGGATGGGTTAGCCTGGTGATGGGTATTAAAGAGGGCACGTTCTGCGTGGGGCACTGGGTGTTATACACAAACAATGAATCATGGAACACTACATCAAAAACTAATGATGTAATGTATGGTGATTAACATAACAATAAAAAATCAACTGCCAAAAAAAAAAGATGTGGTTCATATATACAATGGAATATTATTCCGCCATCAGAAAGGATGAATAACCACCATTTGCATCGACATGGATGGAACTGGAGGGGATTATGCTAAGTGAAGTAAGTCAAGCAGAGAAAGACAATTATCATATGGTTTCACTCATATGTGGAACATAAGCAATAGCACGGAGGAGGGGAAGGGAAGGAAAATCGGAAGGTGGAGAAATCAGAGGAGATGAACCATGAGAGACTATGGACCCCAGGAAACAAACTGAGGGTTTCAGAGGGGAGGGGGTGGGGGAAGGGGTGACAGGGTGATGGGTATTAAAGAGGGCACGTGTTGTGATGAGCACTGGATGTTATACATAACTAATGAATCATTGAACACTACATCAAAAACTAATGATGTACTATACAGTGGCTAACAACATAATAAAAAAAGAGGATAGTTTAGCTAAGAAAGTTTAAATAGGGCCACACACAAAAAAATAGAATACAAAAGAAAAATTAAATATAAATATCTAAGATTCCAACTCAAGAATCTACAAAATAAACAGCAAATCATAACCAAAAGAGAAGAATGTAAACTAAGAATCCAAATTAATGAAATAGAAAACAATTACAATAAAGAAAATCAACAGGGTTCATTGGTGATTCTTTTAAAAGAATATAAAACTGATAACTTCTAGTAGACCCAATAAAGAAAAAATGAGAAAATACACAAATTAACAATATCAGGGATGAAAAGGGGGTTATCATTATGGATCCTATCAATATGCAAAAGATACGATATGAACAAGTTTTGTTCTAATTTGAAAATTTTATTTATAATAGGATGAGTCCTTGAAAACTAATTACTTGAAAAACACAATTTACCAAAAACTGGTACAAAAAGAAATGGAAAATCTAAGTACTCCTTTATTTGTTAAAGAAATAGAACTCATATTATATTGGGGCATTGGGTGGCTCTGTCAGTTAAGCATCTGCCTTCAGCTCAGGGCTCAGATTGTGGTCCGGGGTCCAGGGATCAAGCCCCTTGTCTGCTTCTCCCTCTCCCTCTGCCATTTCCCCCTGGCTTCTGCTCGCTCTCTCTCTCTCATTCTCCCTCTCTCAAATAAATAAATAAAATCTTTAAAAAAAAGAAATAGAACTCATACTATAAAAATTTCCCACAAAGAAAGTTACAAGTTTCAAATACCTGCACTTCCTTGGAGCTCAAAAACAACTCCTGCATCAACATAGAGGAGGAGAGGTAGAGAGGAAATGAGAACAAGAAGTCTAAAACAGAAGCTGTAGTGAATATATGAATTAACATGGATCTTCAGTCCCCAACCTCCCCTCCTGAAGTTCATTGCATCTTCATCCCCTTCCCATTCTGTACCTCAGTGATGTAGCCCTTCTCGATTTGTGAAGCCCCTCCCCAATCTTCCTCCCCCTCCCCCAAACCCTCTGAAATCCCCTTTTTATTTCAAACAAGGTCCGCTATACTCTTCACAGATCATTCTTTCTACCTCTGGATTTCTGCTAAACACAATACTTTATTTCTAACAATTCTACTAGGAGGCTGAAATTTCTCTTTCATACCCCTTTCCTAAAATCGACAGAAAGGAATTCCAAGAATTCAATTTAAATTTAAAATTTTGCAAAAACATCATTTCCTATTCTTATCAATGTTACATCACCACCACTTTGACTTCCCTTTACATCATTAAAACATGTTCTGGAAAATATAGAACCAGATGTAGAGTAGAAACTGATGACAAAGAGATTAGTCAAAGTAAACTGAAACAGTTCATTAAAATATGAGAATTTAAATTAAAGCAATGGTAATGGTAATCAGGGAGTAAAAAACAAAATTAAAGTTTAGATGCCATTCCACTCTCAAACTCTTTTTATCTTTATGTATACCTTAACTGGAATTAATATCAAAAGCATCAATTTTCTTAAGATAGTAAGAGAATTTCCAACATCACACACTCTATTTTGACTCAGATACTGATTTATCAAAATAAGACAGGTCCCCTGTAGTGTTTCCACAAGTTTATCTGCACTTGATACCATGATTAGGACATTGTGACAATAAGGAATGTTACCTGAAATGCCAGAAAACAAGTTTTCTTTTTTTTTTTTTTAAAGATTTTATTTATTTATTTGAGAGAGAGAGAATGAGAGATAGAGAGCACGAGAGGGAAGAGGGTCAGAGGGAGAAGCAGACTCCCCGATGAGCAGGGAGCCCGATGCGGGACTCAATCCTGGGACTCCAGGATCATGACCTGAGCCGAAGGCAGTCGCTTAACCAACTGAGCCACCCAGGCGCCCTAAAAAAAATTCTAACTGAAGGTAGTAAACACAAATGCCCCTTGAAAATATTTTTTAAAATAATAATAAAGAGGATGGGAGGAAACTTTTGAGATGATAGGTAGCTTTATGGCACAGATCGTGCTAATGCTCTCACAGATGTATACTTACCTCCAAACTCATCAAGTTGTATACATTCAGTAAATACAGGTTTTTTTTTTTTTTTTGCATCAATCATGCCTCAAAAAAGAAAATAATTGTACTTTTAAGGACCTGAATTAGTATCACCAAAGATCCACTGAAGTTACAATTTGAAAAAATCACTTTTCCAGTGATCATGCAGATCACAAAAATGCTCACTGGCTATAGGATCATGCTGTTAGGTTGCTATAGACCTAGTCAAATGTACTCATATCTCCACATTTCTCACCACTCCATCAGATGGGGTGGCCCTTTTTTAAGATGCAACAACCTACCTTAGGGAATTCACTGTGATATCTGATAGTATATTCCTCAAGTCAAGCTGTTCTGATGGCATTAGTGACGGACCTTTTCATCAATCATTGTGATAACTACTGAAAACATCTCTGGCAAATACCAACTCCCCCCTTTCACACTCTAGTTTCATTGCTGTCTCTGCTGCTTCCACTTTGGCATATGCCAAATGCACTTAGGCAGAATGGAGCACTTCTTACGTGCCACCTCAGGTTCTCTCGGCCTCACTGCCCTTAGTATTTCCTTTGCTCCTGCTACTATATTATAAATTTTAAAATTGAGTATTTTCCTACTGCCTCAATGTCTTCATGAACAGGCTATGAGCACACCACCCAGGTGACCAGGTGCACCATTGAGATAAGGCTGACACCTTGCCACCAGTGCCCCTTCTTTCCCTGCTCTGACTGTGACCTAGTAACATTCAAATGTTTTTGAATTGTTCAAATGTTTTATGTACGCCACCTTGACCACCAAAATGGTCATTTACCCACAGGTCTTTCCTCTCTTTCCTGGCTCTCCACCTGCTTGGTTGAGCCTGCTCCCTTGGCACTTCTTCCATGTGGCCCCCTTGCAACGTTAATGACTCCATCTCTCTAGGACTTGCAAGTAAAATAGGCTTCGTTTCCCTGAATCTCTCCCTTGTCCCCTCTTGTGGTTCTACCTGACTGACCTTCTCATGAAAGAAAACAAAATAGTTACCACGATGAAACTTAATTTCATACGGGGACAACCCAGCAGTTGTACCTGTATGAAACATTTGACCCCACCTTCCTACCTTTTATGACACACCACAGAGATCTGAAGGATCCAGTGATCCATAGGTCTCGAGCCTTCGTTGTCCAGGGCCAAGCAAGTCCTTATGCTTCCTTGAGCACCTAATACTCTAGGAGTCACTGTGTGACTGGGGTCTTCACCCAAGCATGTGATCCTGTTAGTTATTCTAGGAATGAAACCAAGGCTATTCCTACTGGGCATCCCCTTGACAGATCAGACAGGCCTTACCTGAGCAGACTACTCCAGCATCCCAATTATGGGACAAGCGTTGATTACGGTAGTCTTGAATAGGAGAATGATGACAGTCATTGAGGGTTAATTCTGTCCCTTCACAAACAGTCTGAAAAAGCCAAATAGGCCCATCCCCTGATCCAAAATGAGCCCGTCTGGGGGCATCAACAGCATGTCCACATCCCAGCTGTCTGCACACCACATCTGCAGCTTCCACATACCACTTGTAATCATACACCGTGCCCCATTCTCCTTCGTATTTCACTTCCACTCTCCCCTCACAGCGGTGGCCCCCATGCATCAGCCTTAGCTCCGTAACTGTAAGAGAAACATAAACACACAACACAGGACACAGGGAAGATTTTAGCATATTAGTGGTATGCTGGTAACTATTAAAAAATGAGCTCTCCAAGGGAGGAAAAAAAAAACCCTCTCATGTATAGCATTTGTTGATTTCTATGGTGTAAATATTCCCACTGTGGTCAATTTTAAGCTACCAATGTGGCATCACTGAACATGGAGTTGGGGAGGAAATGTACACAATTATTTTTCACAAGCAAGTAAGATTCAGCTCCATGAATACCAATGAGGACAGGCCTTCAGATGACTCTAACTGCTGCCTTCTCAGTAGGTACACATAAGGCTGATAGGGGCCCAAATTCTCCCATCTCATTTACAGTTCATGGCCCATGAAGTCAGTGGAGGACTATGCCCATTCCTTCTCTGTCCCATAAGGAACGCTCTCATCTAGCTTTGGAAGAAAGGACTGTGGTAAGCAGCCTCTAAAATGTCCTGATTATTCCTACTTCCTGATATTCACACTTTTACATAACCCTCCTAGCACTTGAATGTGGCCTAAACCTAATAACATTCGTCTACCAATGGAATTTGGTAAAAGTGATGCGATGTCACTTAAAAAATCAAGTTTCAAGAAAATTCTGGTTTCTCCTGTTGACCTGTCTTGCTCTCTCACTTGCTTGCTCTGATGAAGCAAGCTGCCATATGATGAGCTGCATGTGGAGAGACCAACATAACAAGAACCTGAGGGAGGCCTCTAGTCAAGAGCCAGCAAGGGACTGAGGCTCTCAGTTTAGATAGTCCTCCAGGGGCTTAATGCCACCAATAAGGTAAATAAGCTTGGATGGTATTCAGTCCCATTGAACCTTAAGATAATTGCAATCTTGTGAGAGATCATGAATCAGGAGACCCAGATAAACCATGCCTAGATTCCTGGTCCACAGAAACTATGAGATACTAGATAGTTGTTTTAAGCTGCTGAGTTTGGCAGTAATTTGTTGTACAGAGATCTATTACTAATTTAGGGGTTCTCTGCAGAGTCAGAAAACAGCAAGTTGGACAAGCTAGAGATTTATATAAGGGGCTTAAGTGCTTCATCCAAATAAGGCTTCTTCCTAAGTGGCCAATTCTGTGACCTTGGTCCTACTTGGAACTGGGACCTAAACCACCTCTTTCTTGTCATATCAGTTTCTTATCCAGTGAAATAGGTTCCTGCTCTCCCGTCAGGAACAGAGAAGTGGATTTCCTAAGGTCCTAGAACCATCTCCATTAGCTTTACATTGGGGTTAGCAAAATGAGAATTTTTTTTCTTATACTATAATCAAAATGTGGTCCCTGGGGTACCTTTCACACTGCTCAGGTCTATACCTGGTTCCATATGCTTCCACTCTGGAAATCAGATGTGGTGCATCAAAAAGATGGGAAGATGTCGAACTTGGAAACAATCCTGGTGTGCTAGTCTGCTCAGGCAGGCTGCCATAACAAAATACCATAGACTAGATGACTTAAACAGAAATTTATTTTCTCACAGTTCTGGAATCTGGAAAGTCCAAGATCAAGGTGCTGGTACATCAGTTTTCATTCTGAGACCTCTTCTCTTGGCTTGTAAGCCACTGCTTTCTCACTGTGTGTGCTCACGTGGCTTTTTCACAGTACGTGTACATAGGGAAAGATGGAGAGAGATCACTCTCTTTCTTTCTCTTATAAGGCCACCAATCCTATTGGATTAGGGCCCCACCATTATGACCTCATTTAGCCTTAATTACCTCCTAAAGACCCTATCTCCAAAGATAGTAAAAATGGGAGCTAGGGCTTCAACATATGAATTTTGAAGGGACACAATGCAATCCATAGCACCTGAAGAGGTACATTCTAGGAAGGAAATAAAGATAAATGTGAAGAAGGTAAAGGAGATAGTAGAAGAAGGGAGACATCCTGTGAAGCTTACTCAGTTTTTTTTTAAAGTCTAAAATTGAGGTGAGAGTAAAAGATTGAAATGGGATCCTAAAAGTGCATAAGAAACTATTATTAATAGTAAAATCGTCAAAATAATAATAGTAATAATAAAATCATCTAGGGACACCTGGGTGGCTCAGTCAATTGAGCATTCGACTTGAGAGATCAAGCTCTACATCGGGCTCTGTGCTGGGCATGGAGCCTGCCTAAGAGTCTCTCTCTCTCTCTATCTTTGCCCCTCCCTCCTCAAATAAATAAATCTTTTTAAAATAATAATAATAAAATAATGGATTAAGAGGCAGGTCCTGTGCTAAATGCTGTAAACACAGAAATAATTAGACAATATTCTTATCTTCAGGTAGCTTGTATTTAGTTGGTGACACAAGCAAGCAGATGATTTCATTACTGTGAAAAGTTCCGGGAGACTTTCTTAGGAATAGTAAGCTTGGTTATTTGAATTTATCTCTTCTGCTGAAAATAAATAAAATAAAAAGTGGAATAAAACATACTAAAAATGATCTTAAAAGATTAAATACCTGATAAGATAGGAAGGAAAAATCAGGTCAAATCTGAAGGGAAAATGGGAATTCGTTCGGACACAGGAGCATGGAATGTGCTTTTACCTGACAGCATTAGCTTATTCAAGAAAATGTGTTTAATTTATGGCCTTTGATGGTGAGGAGGCACAAATCAAATCCCAAACCCATACCCACACGAGAACTCTAACAGAAGACAGACTCTACAATAGCTGGGATACTAGTTGAAATAGACATGCCCTTGTATAAAATTACATTTAAAGTTTGAACCTCTAGATTATCTAGATAATATCAATGTTGTACTTCTAGTAAGGTAGCCCACTATTAAAAGTGCCATAAAATCATGGAAAAATTAAAATAAGATCCTCACAGAAGAAATTGCCTTCGTGCCAGGCCTCAAATTACTTCTATAAAGAATTTTCATAAATAAAATGACCAGTACATTGTCCAGAATAGACAAATACACAAAGAAACAAAGGTCCATTAACAATAACCAAGAGGGGACGCCTGGGTGGCTCAGTCGTTAAGCATCTGCCTTCAGCTCAGGTCATGATCCCAGGGTCCTGGGATTGAGCCCTGCACCAGGCTCCCTGCTCAGCAAACAGTCTGCTCCTCCCTCTGCCTGCAGCTCCCACTGCTTATGTGCTCTCTCTATCAAATAAATAAATAAAATACTTAAAAAAAAAACAATAACCAAGAGAAACCACTGAAACAGGCAGACACTTCTGATATTAGATATATTAGATGTTGGTTATATCAAAATCACATATACTATATTCAAAGAAATAAAAATACACTTCTTACGGATTCTTCAAGGAACTAAAAAAAAATGCATAGAAAAAACTGTAAAACCCAAAAGAACTTCCATGAATGAAAAATATATTTGTTGAAATTAAAATTTTTTCATCAAATTAAATTCAGGTAAAGAGAATTATTGAAGTGAACAATAAGTTAGAAGAAATTATCTAGAGTGGTGCACAGAGAAACAAAAGAATAAAAAATACAGAAAAGAGGATCAGAGACATAAAGTGGAGCAACTTAAATTGAAATATGAGAAGGAAGAGAGGAAGAGAGAGCAACACACACATAGAAAGAAATAAAATTGAGCAGAAGCAATATTTGAAAAATATTGGTTAAGAAATTTCCAGAACTCATGAAAGACACTAATCCTTAAAGTGAATAAGCCCAACAAAACTCAAGCAAGCCATATAAAAAGGAATTTATTTGTAGACACATCATGGATGTGATAGATAGGACTAGTGTTCAGCAATATTTCAAGTTTTCTCTGGGCACATGGAAATATCAATACTTCCTTGCTTGTTTGAAATTAAGCATGAGTTTGTGATCTGTTTTACTGAACAAAGTACGAGAACAAACGAGTGTAGCACTTTCAGAAAGAAATATATAAAAGCTACTATATGCATCTACCATAGTAAATCTTACAGCCTCATGTTAAAATAGTGGCATAAGAGAGGGAGGCATTCAACAACTTAAGAAGTTGAATAATCATAAGCAGAGGCCCTGCCAAACTGAAGAGAATGTGCAGTGTAAGAATAATAAATGTTCATTTAATCTTCTGAAATGTGGGTTGTTACTACAATATAACCTAATTATTCTTGTTAAAATGATGAAAAACAGCAGAAAACTGACAAAGAAAAAAATTTTAAGACAGAATTGGTACACATTACCTCCAACTGAGCAACATCTATACTAACATTTAAGTCCCCAAAACAACAAGAGATGCCAGTACAGAGTAGACAAGCCTTAGATGATCCAAAAGAGAAACAAATCGTCAATCTAAATTTTTATACTCAAGAACACTCTATTTAAGTGACATCACCAAAATGGCAAAGTAGGAGACACCAGACTCCATCCCCCCCCACCCCACAAAATGATCAATAATTAGATAGCTTTCCATGAACAAAGGCACTCTGGGAAAGCTTGTGAGTACACTTGAGAAGTTTTGGCAACACAAAGACTGCACATTTTGCCAGCATCATCCTATCCCTCAAGCCAATATTGCTCAGTACAAAGAAGGAACTTCCTAGCTAGAAAGAATTTTCTTCCAGTCCTACCTCTGCCTACCCTGGTCCCCAGCCCCCAGCCCCAGAGTCACTCCTGAGGACCCCAACAGCTCTTACAGCCACCACAGATGCCCTACAGTTCTTGCCAAGGTCCATATAGTTGTCAAAGCTGTGGACCTCAGCAACCTGACCTGAAGAGACATCATGCTCCCCAGACCCAGTGCTGCCACACACCCCTGCACTTGACACCCTGCATCACTACACCCCAGTCACAGCATGCTACAGTGTGCCCTCACTCACAGGTGAAGATCTTCTACTTAAAAATCAGTCTATAGAATCTGGAAGAGGTCACTGCTCCTACAAATGCACAGACACCTATGCAGGGCTACAGGGATCAAGAAGAATCAAGGTGAAATGATTCTACCAAAGGAATACAGTAAACCTCCAGTACATGGTCCAAAAGAAATGGAGACATAGGAATTACCCTACAAAAAATTGAAAATAA